GGCCGAGGTAAGACTCGCATGTACTTAATTTTGTCTAATAGGGCTGCAACTAACAATTATTCTTGTAATTACCTAATCATCTCTATTTTCTGCGTAATTAATGACATGAATGAACAATTAGCGGCAGTTATTTTACAGACTTTACAGTGACATGAAGGGAAGAAAAATTTGTGAATCTTGTAGTTGGAGAAGCTATGACCAGCAGCTGTTTGGTATTTTTATTAAGTGTAGTAAATTTCTTAGAAAACCCATTCAGACGGAGAGATTTATAAGACCACAGAGATGCACCGAATAGCTTTCTGTCATTGTCCACGACTGTGTCTAAATCTTAAGTATCTTGTGTGTGATTCCTTTTTGAACTTTCAGTCTCTTTCCTCCTCCTCTCTTGTCAGCACCTGTCACAGCAGATCCAGCAGAGTCGAGTCTCAGGGGCCTTCGGTGTGGGCGCGTCCACAGGGCAAATGACCCGGTCTCTTCTCGGTGTTTACAGAGAACTCAGAGAAAATCCTCTCCTTATAATTTAAACACTTTTTTTTTTTTTTTTTTTTTTTTTTTTTAGCTGAGCCTACGCAGATGCCCTTGGCCTTGTTCTGTGTGTTATGTAACTTCTCTTTGCAGCTGATTAAAACATAATGTCCATAATAGTGATTGCTAATGTAAATGTACTTTAGTGTCCCTGTAAACATTACCATTCATGGTTACTTTCATGTGCCTTGGTTTTCCTACTATTATTTTGATATTGTACGTGTTCCACAGCTTTAATAACAATGGTCACCCACATTACTGTTTTTGTTAGTTGTGTGCTTCAAACTAAATTTCACTTCAGAGACCGGTACATTCAGCACAAGGTGACCGAAGAGCGCAGGTGGAGCAAAAATATATGCAATTACAGTCCAAATGGAAAAACTGTCTCCCAGCTGGGAGAAGGTCCTCCAGTTCACAGTCCCCTGATGTGTCAAATATGTAGGTGTAACAGTGACATGGGACCTTTATGTCTTTTACAGAAGTTCTTAAACACAACACATTTACTGACGGCTGGTAGACTGCAGGAGTTTGATTAAGAATGACCAACACATTAAAAAGTTTGTTCAGTTATACATCAACTGAAATGAAGAAAGCTCAGGTTTCTGGACTAGACAGACAGGAAAGATCATCTGGATATAGTTGTTACTCACTGACACTGCAGACAGCCAAACTGATTGTCAATAATTCAAGTAGTTGCAGAAACAACAAATTTCAGGTTTTTTTCAGGAGTAAAAGGTCTACGGAAAGAAATTTCACATGTTCTTGTCCACCTCAGCACAGCACCTAATAAATTTGGAAGAATTAAAGCTAAAGTAGGGTACCTGAGACGGACAAGCACTTAAAAATGTAACATTTAAAAACATTTAACATATAGTATATAGATAAAGCAAATACAGTGCTTTATTTTAGATATATCTTTGAGTGTATATATCTTGTCTTCAGAGTTATGACCCCAGTAGAAATGTTTTCTTGATTGAATCTATGTGTTGTAGAGACACCTGCTGCAGGTAAAACCTCACTGCTCCAGGTGAGGCTCGAACTCACAACCTCGGCATCACTCTGCAGGTTACTGTCTTATAAGTACCGCGCGCTGACCGATTGCGCCACTGGAGCACAAAGCCACAAAATCACTGTCTTGATTAACCCCACACTGCTGACAGGTTAATTAAAGGTAATAATGTTTCAGTCACTCAGTCTCACAGGGAAACCACTGATTATCATGACAGAAGCATTATGCATTAGAGCTACTGTAATGCCTCAGGCAGGTTTACACCCCAAACCTAAAACTTGTTGCATCCTGTAAGTTCAGCAGTTGCAGAAGTAGTCTGATTACAACTACATAATGTGATGATGAGGACGTTCCAGTTGTGTTAGTTGAGTCAGCTAATCACAACCTTTTTAACCAAATATTCACCTTAACTTTAATCAAGGCATTAAGTAGCAGTTGTTGTTAGAGTAGTTCAGTGTGATTATTTCATTTAGCAGTTTATTTCAACATGTCATGCAGTGTGTCACAATCAACCACCATGTTAAAACCTCACTGCTCCAGGTGAGGCTCGAACTCACAACCTCGGCATCACTCTGCAGGTTACTGTCTTATAAGTACCGCGCGCTGACCGATTGCGCCACTGGAGCACAACACCAGAGTTTCACTGTCTTGATTAAACCCACACTGCTGAAAGACTAATGAAAGGTAATAATGTTTCAGTCATTCAGTCTCACTGGGAAACCACTGATTATCATGACAAAAGTGTTGTGGTATTAGAGCTACTGTAATGCCTCAGGCAGGTTTACACCCAAAGTCTGAAGCTTGTTGCATCCTTTAAGTTCAGCAGTTGCAGAAGTAGTCTGATTACAACTACGTAATGTGATGATGAGGATTGTGTTAATCAAACCTTTTTTTAACCACATATTGACATTTTCTTTAATCAAGCCACCTACTGCATTAAGTAGCCTTTGTTGTTGTTGGAGTAGTTCAGTGTGATTATTTCAACATGTCATGCGGTGTGTAACAATCAGTCACCATGGTAAAACCTCACTGCTCCAGGTGAGGCTTGAACTCACAACCTCGGCATCACTCTGCAGGTTACTGTCTTATAAGTACCGCGCGCTGACCGATTGCGCCACTGGAGCACAACACCACAGTTTCACTGTCTTGATTAAACCCACACTGATGACAGACTAATTAAAGGGAATAATGTTTCAGTCATTCAGTCTCACTGGGAAACCACTGATTAACATGACAAAAGCATTATGCATTAGAGTTACTGTAATGCTTTGGCCTTGTTTGCATTGAAACCTAAAACTTGCTGAGATTTCTTTGTGAGATTTCCAAGTCTCTTGACACTTAAGAGTTATGTGATCAGTGTGAGCTGTCAGTTACAGTCAGAGAATTATTTTTCCTTGACCACAATGGTATAATTTCTTTGCTCCAGGTGAGGCTGTGAAGTGTGTGTGGTGCCACCTTTTGTTGGTCATTAGTTTGTTAAAGATTCCTTCCAGATGTTTTAAGACATACATACAAATAGTCTGCTCTGAACAATAATGTGTGTCTGGTATGTTTTTTACACAAAAAAGTATAAATTCCACTTCGCCATCTACTCCTTGAATCTATCAATATGCAAATTGTGTTCATTTCTAAAGTTTTCCTGATTGACACAAGATGTCTCCTACTTCACTGTGATGTTCATTTTCAGTGGATGTGCACTGGTGATCTCAAGGTTCTACATCACACTGTACAAGTTGCATCCTGGACCAGGATTGATTTCCAACTATTTGTGAGGTCACATCACTGCATAAAATGAGAATTTGAATGGGCACAGAGAAACTTTCCACTTTCAGCAGATGAATGTGAAAACATCCCTTCTATTGTCACACTTTGCACAGACATCATTCTGCACAGTAAGCTGCAGGGCCCAACTGATTAGTTTATAGTAACTTAACCTTAAGAGGATATATCTGACCCAAAATCGTCACAGCAACAGGAACACCTGCTGGCACAAAGCTGTAAGCTCCACATGTCCACAGCAGCACCAGGTTCTGACTTGTGAAGACGTCCAGGTGATATCTCTGCTTCCTGTACAGATGATGACCTCTGATTCTTGTGGGGTTCCTCCAGGGCAGCTAACAGTGGACCTTAAAAACTTCAGCAACAAATAATTAGCACTGGGCACTAGCAGATGATGATAATGAACTACTCCAACAGCAGTTTATTTAGTCATTTATTATCACAGTCCACAACAAAGATGAAACTTGAATTTATAACAATGGACCCTGGAAACCTCTGCAGATGACTCTCAGGACCAGCACATTCTGACTTAAGGAGACTCCTCAAAGTCCTGCTGGAAACATCCTCCAAGGGATGAAGAAGAAAGAAACTCCTTGGCTCCAACTAAAGACTCTTCCTCATCAAAGATCTCAACGAAGGTGAGAGAGCTCAGAGGTAAACTCATTCACGCTTGTCTTTTCCACTTGTGCTGACGTATTTGTTTTGACACAAACAGGTTTAGAAACAAACATAATATCTATTGCTAGAATTTAAATCAAAATCAATGACTCACTTTCAACTTCTGTTTTTCTTTTATGGCCAATTGATGTTTGTGTGAAACTGTATTTAAATAAGAGCAGGTTTTTAAATCATTCTTTCTTTTCTTTGTCTGTCTTGTGTTGGTGGTGGTTAGCCCCAGTGAGGGAAAGCAACTAAGGACTGTAAAATTTTGAAGTACATGTACTTGCTACATTCTACTCCCCTACATTACTAGAGAATTGTTGTATTTCATATATTTGACAGCCCTAATCACAGGGTCCTGTCCTTGTATGGACTTGATTGGCGAGCAGTTCAACCATAGACTGATTTTTCCTTCTCACACTGTGTTATTTTAATAATTTTTAGGACCCTCAGAAAGGCGAAAGTATTTCACAAGAAAGGTTTAGGAAAATTAGAGAAAAATCTGAAGAAATCAATCAAATATGTTTTCTATCCCTTTTATGATCAATAGTGACACCTCAGATTTTTCATGGCAACACTTATGTTGGGAATCACCAGCCTCGGTAGTATGCATGTGGATATTAAGCTTCCAGTTGTGTTGTCCACCTGTAATTGAAGGGAAATTAATATTACACCAGCTTTTTAAATACACAAGGTAACACTTAGGGTGCTTGCACATCTGTAATTCGGTTAATTCGGACCAAAGTAAAAAAATGTCTACATTGTTGTAAGTTCTGTTCACACTGACTTTTTGAACAAACGAACGAACCCACAGGAGTAAACATGTCGGTCAGTGGAATTTGATTTCCGATGATGATGCAGGATGACAGTTGCCGAAACTGTTCAATGAATGATTTACCTGTCTGTCTATCGTAAACCGGACCAAATCTTAAAGGTGTGAAAGCACCCTGGGATAAGCTTGGCTTGATTCCTATAATCCTGGTAGATATATGACCTTATCAAAACAAAACATAACCAGCCATGCAAGTGTATTTTGTATCTTTATGCTCATAAAAGAAAGAAGAAATGTTGAAAAAACATTGCAGATGGACAAATGAAAAAAGGTTGTAATGATCACATTACTACCAGGTACTTGTTCATGAGTCTTGGTTACAGTCTTCAACAGGTGACTATTAGAAACCCAATCACCCTTGTCTGCTAATAAACATCCTCAGACAGCAGTACCATGCTAATGACTCAAACTCCTCTTAAAGGTGATCTCACTCATAATGGTGACTATGTCCGTCTCAAATGGCACCCAGATTCATTATGCTTCTTAGACTGGGTGACTGTCATTACACACCTGTATGACCCAGTTGTTGCCTTGCTGTCAATAATGTAACACCTTTAAGCAGTGGTAGAATCCTTGATGTATGTTGGTTTTACAGCATAAATCTACACGTCTTTACTGAAAGGAGGATTTTTATCTGGAGTTTAGCTCATTGGGAAAAAATCTAAAAGAACAAAACAAAAACTCAAATCGAAAATGTTCATTCACACTAATTTGCTGTTTTGACATCAAGTACTGACTCAAAAACATTGTTCACTTCATCAAGACGTTTCTTGGCTGAATATGCGTGGCCAGTTCCTCTTCTTGAACTTTCTCGCCTCTGTATCAGTCAGTTATCCCTGTGAGTTCACTTCTGCGACCTCTTTGTAACAGGAAGGAGAAAATAAGTGGGATGAAATCGGTACAGGTCGTAACTCTTCGCTGTCTTTCACCTCAAAATGCCACAGACTTAACTCAGTGAAGAGAGGAGTCAGAGTCTAGGTCTTAGGTTAAGATTGGATTGGATTGTATTAATACTCCCACAGGGCTGAGCTGCTCAGGCTGAGTCCATCTCCCTTCAACGTGCCTCCCTGGTCTCCACGCAGGTATTTGCCGTTCTTGCCACGGATGGCGAGGCGTCTGTGCTCCAGGAGCTCAAGAGAGAAATCCTCAGGGACCTCACCATCTGAGCACACCAACCCAGCACTGTTCACGTACCAGAACCGGCCATCTACACCTGCAGGATTTAAAGGGTAGATACACAAAGTCAGCAGAGTAGTAGTTTCCTCTTGATAATAGAAGTATAGGATTTACTTTAGCTTTATTCACCATGTTGGGTTTGTCTATATGCATACAACTGTGATCATGTAATGATGATGATTATCATTGCTGAAACACAGATTTGTTTGAGAGATGGGGAGCAGAAAAAGGAACCAGGCACAAAATCAATCTTGCTTGAGAGGGCACATCCTGACCTTTAATATGGTAGGCCCCGTTACTGAATTGCAGAGTGAAAATGTCATAGACCGATCTGCTGGCGTCCAGCGTGTTGGAATTCTTGTGGTGGCAGATGAATCCGTTGTCTCCTCTCAAGATCAGCATGGGTCGGTTGATCAGTTTCAAAGTGAGCTGTTCATCCTCACCTGTCAAAAGGTGACAGCAAAATCATGAAGACACATCCGAGGGGACACAAGAGGAGTCAGAGGGAGGGTTTGAGGGAGGGGGTATAGTAATGAAGAGAAAAAACTAATATTGTCTCTTGCCTGTGGAATCACTGACAGCGAGCAGCTGGCCATTCTTCTTGATGCAGATGTATTTTCCATTGTTAGCTTTTAGTGCCACCTTGTGGCCAAGCCACTCCACTGAAAACATGGTGTTCGCTGACCTGCAGTAGGGCATCAAGAGAGAAAATGAAATTTTCCCTGCCTTTAGGTGCTCTTGGAAATATTGTGATTACATGTTGAGTGCAGATGCAAGACTACAAAAGGTAAAGCATGTCAACTAAGAGAGGCTGAACTTTCTATAAAATCAGATTTGCCAGGATATGTTTAGCAGGTTGAGATTATCAACTTAAAACAGGTGATTATTTGTCATCTGCATGAATGCTATCCCTATTATTTCCCTCATTTCTGTTTTAGTTGTCAATCACCTCTATTTTCAATAGATTTATATATGAATTTACTGACTGATTTGCATTTTCAAGGACACATTTTCTTGTGTGCTGAGACATTTTCTTGTGTTGCATTATCCCTTAAATAAATATCTGCCATTGTGTAATAAAATGAACTTATTTCTTATAAAGCATTCATGACTACCATTTATAACTGATGAACTCAAAGGTAAAGGTTTATGTGCAGTAGTGGAAGGACGCTTGTGATTAAACTTAACACTTAGATTTTTATAGTGAAGTAAAACAAATTGTTATAGTCCAGAACATTCCTTTTGTAAACCCATATCTGTGATATAAAGTGTAGGATATACAATTATATTAAATGATTTGTTTATTTTCCCACTGCACAAGTGGTATGAGAGCAGTCACTCACACTTCAGTAGCCGTACTCTGGATGCCTCCGTGGGCCACCAGAGCCCAGTAGTTCCCTTGGCTGGTGCGGAATGTACACATCCTGGTTTCCTTGTCAATCTCCATCTGAAACGTCTCCATGTCCGTCTCATCTTCCTGATTTGCTGCAAGGCTTACTCCTGGGGTGGGGGGCATAGCAAGCAGCTCTTGTCATTAATACTGTAGTGACCGGAGAAATCCATTTATTGTTGCTGGCAATTTGTATTAATTTTCATTTTCCATTTGTATATTGCCTGTGTGCAATTACTGCTGAACAAGTTGTGACAGCATTTAAGACTTGCATGAGGTGTGAGGTCATAGTATTGAGCAATGAACATAAGGCAGCATTAAATGTGTGTTCACGAAATACATCTGATTGTGCTGAATAGGTGTTACTCAAGTGCATGAAAATAAACAAATTCTTCTGCAGAGCTCTTTTTTTCCTCTTTGGATTTACAGTGGCAAGTCGAAAACCAACAAAATACTTTGGGAAAACTGCGACATAGCAGGTTGCTAATCAGGTTGTATTGTTATGTTTAGCTTGGCCCAGCATGAAAGAGTTGGTAATCACGTCTGATCCTAGGATGTTAGGTTATTTTTAAGTGGTTCTGTCTTAAACTCATCTGACGTGCTGAGCATATACAGTACCTTCCTGAGGGTAAATACATGTTCACTGATTGTGGTTCTGGATGCATTTATGGACAGAATATACTGTAAATAAAATAACACTAAATGTACCAATGCAGGAAAATCTTACAGAGACAGAGCTAAATGTGTAGAATGCACGTTTCTCACAATAATATGTGTGATCAGCAGAAAAAACACTCTCACACTCTTCGCTTCAATTACATTGAGACTACTTAACAGCTAAACGAAAATCACACCATTGATTGACAAGCACAGAAACCAATTATTTCAGCATTGCTAATACATGGAGCGTTATTGGTGTCAAACATGTGAGAAACACACTAAGACATAGACAAACACAGTGACGTCCACTCCTCTCTGCTTTGATGGGTGTTTTGGCTTCCAGGTTCAGAAGCAAATAGGCAGCTTTACTGTTAACCTCTTCTTTATTTCAGAAGTCCTGGTTAATATTTCCACCTGTTAGCATTATCATAAAAGACAACAATTTGTCACCACCAGGAGACAGATTGCAAAGAGCTGAATCCCAAATTAGATACATCCTAGAATAATCCTTTAACAACGCAGATCTGTGCGCCTCACCCCCCTCTTATCTCTCCATGCTCCCTTCGCTGGCCATCCTTCTCTACCTTCCTCCCTTCCCCCATCTCTCCCTCCTTCCCCCTGACCCCCTCAACCCCCCCAACCCCCGCCTCCCACTGTCACCCCACCTCCGGCCCTGCCTATCTGCCCTCTTCACAGCGGGGCTCTGATATAATCAGCTTTCAAGTGCTACCCGTCCAATCCCTCAATCCCCTCAATAAAAGAATAAAGGAAAAACAGGAAAAGACCAGAGGATTTTACGGTTCACACTTAGCAGGATGTACAGATAATTACCAACCCCTCTCAACCCTCAAGCTAACGGAGCTATGAATGACAGACATATTGACAACATGCTAAAAATGTAAATGCATTATGTAGCTATATTGTTTTATACATCTTAAAGGACCCAAAGTATACTCATGTATAGAGGGCTACTTTTATTTAACAAATACCAACCAAACTCTATTTGAAAACAAAAAAAAAGAAATGAAAATGATTTAAAGACTGAAACCTCAGAAATGATCAGTCTATACAGTTTATTGTTAACAAGCAGGTGGCTGCATTGGAGAGGTGCAGAAAATGTTATTTCTTCCTCCAAAACTATCATTCTCAGGTTACAGAGAACAATGCTAAACAAAAACCAATATAACAGAGACAAGACAAGCCATGCTAGTGATTCTGTGAGGCTGTATTTAGGTGATGCTTACGTTAGCATGCTAACATGTTTGAGGTGTTCTGTCAAATAAAAAGCAACATTTCCAAAATTAACTAAATACAGTGAATCAGCATTGTCGCCGACTGGAATCAGACGCTTTTGCCGGTGTATCAGTCTAGTATAGTAAGTGAGCACACCAAGTGATGCCATTAGATATGCAAGCATTTGGTCATAAACCAAAGCATTGGACAAATAAAACACTTGACCTATTGATGGCACTAGACCTTTAATATCTTAGGAATGGATCCACCAGTTGTTGAGATATTTATGTCTGGACCAAAGGGGTATACCGACCTACAGACCAACAACACCATCCCCAAAGCCGTGCCGCTAACATGGATAAAAAACAACATAAAACAAAGATATTATCTATATGTCTGAAGTGAGGTCAGCTCAACTCTAATAACACTAATAAACCTGAGCTCACTATGATACATTGCATCAAGTGGTTTAAGGCTACTGAGGGATTCATGCATATAAATAACGTGCATAATCCAACACAGATGCACCTACACACGTACCAGTTTTCAGCACATTTTTTGGTAGAAAAAACCCTCACAAAAACAACTTCAACTCTTGTTCAGCAGTTCATGCTAGTGTTTTAAGATCCCTTTGGGGTCATTTTGTTTTAATTTGATATCTGACCGTAGATACAGACTGGGGGATGGAGAAAGGGGATGACGTGCAACAAAGATGTCATGGTTACTGAGCTACCGGGACGCTTTAATCACATCTTATTCACACCTGATAAACTAGGTATCATGAGGTCTTACAACTGGTTAAATTATCATTGATCTTAAGTGCATCTGAAGCATAAATTTCTAGCCCCTCTACTCTGCACCTATGCCTTGGGGCCCATCACTCTCATTCTCTCTCATGCCGACTCAATGTCATGCTTTGTCTACCTATTCCATGTGTCCATTTCACACTAATTCAACCCAGAAATGATCCTCCGACAGGGCTCAGCTGGAACCTCATGGCTGCTATCTGATAGATGAGAGGAGAGGAGGCAGAGGAAGGAGAGAAGGATGAAAGAAGAAAGAGAAAAAGAGAACAGGGGCAGAAAGAGATTAGATATGCTGAAATCCAAGCCAGCAATCTGAGGATATCAATAGCTGTGTTGATGACCATCTTTGACACACCAGTTGGTCAAGCATACGAAATAAGATGCTGTCATCATAGCCACGACCACTGATAAACTATGCAGTGTAGCACAGTACAGTCCTCGTCAGTACACTCCATGATGCATCTACACAGACACACACAGGTAACAACAGCAGTGGCACATTTTGGATCAGACCCCAGATCCAGCTCCACTTTCTGGTGTTGTCCTACCTGCAGCCTGCAAGTGGAGCAAGCCTAACTAATCCATCAGCGATAGATGCCTCTGACATCTATTATTAATGGTAAGCTGATGCCACTATCCCCCTGTTCCTTATTTTCCTCTTTCTCCCAATCCTTCATCCTTCACAACTGAATTTTCTGTTGTTCTTTTATTTCAGTCCATTCGTTTTTTCTCCCACTTATCTGTTCCTGGACTGTGTGTGTGTGTGTCTGTGCACAAATGCATCATGTAAGCATGTATGTATTTGTGTTCATGTGTTCATGTGTGTTAATGGAAAGTTTGTGTCTTCAGACTATCATCTCTTTTTCACTTTCAGGTCAGAGTGGACCACTTAGACCCGAGGAACACAGGGAGGTGATGAGAGACATGATGACAGATCTACATGACATGCTGAGACACACACACACACACACACACACACACACACACACACACACACACTGCAGGCATCCCATTGCTGTCTACAGAACCTCTCTTTAACACTTTTATATCTAAATTCATGCTCTACCTGATAACAGCTGACCCTCTTTTATTACTAACCCATTTACTGCATTTGTACTCACTTTAAAATAGATAGCCAACATGACTCCTCTGCACTAAATGGAGCAGAAACAAAGGTGCTAATTTATGTGTAAAGGCAGGTGACATTAGGGAGGATGAAGAGCCCACCTGTCTCTACACATACTCCTATTGTCCTAAAGTCCTTGGAGACTTGTATCCTCCCTTCTCTGCTTTCCATTTTCCACTTCCTCTTTAATCATCATGTTGAACCCAGAGGTAGAAGGCAACAAGGTATATTTATCCATGTAATGAAGAATTTTGAGGTACTAGCATTAAATGATTTTCCATTTTGTACTTTTGTCCCACTTTTACTCTAACTTAACAATTTGACCTTTCACCTAATATTTTAGTTTTTCTATTTTCTCTCAAACTATCATCCATTCGCCCGTACTCATTGATTTTCAGCAGCACATCAGCACTGACTGAGGCCGGCTTAGCGGGTTAGATTAGCAGGATAGAGCGGGACCTCGGAGGGGCAGAAGCTTTGGCCCCAGGTGAGAGGGAGCTTGGGTTTCTGAAAGCAGACTCCCCCCTCGCCTTCCAGGAACAGGGGCCAACTTCATCAATAATTCAAAACACCACCTCACCACTTGCCGCAGCAGGACGGTATGATTGTGTGTGGGCGAGTGTGTCTGAGAAAGATAAAGCTTTTGTTTGTGCAGAACAAGTGTAGGAAGAGAGAGAGAGACAGCGAGAGAGAGAGAGAGACAGAGAGAGAGAGAGAGAGAGAGAGAGAGAGACAGAGACAGAGAGAGAGACTGTAATAGACAAATGTAAGCATGCTGCAAGTATTTCTGTCTGTTCATACATTCATACAAGGCTACTGTATATACTGTATGCATGTTTTATCCTGCACCATATCTTTCTTTCCCTTTAACCAATCAGTTTACAGTTCCCAGTCCTTTAGTTTCCGCCTGAAGCGCCCACTGCTAACCAGGAACAATGAGCGGCGAGAGATTCAGTTACAGCACCCAGGGCTGAGGTAACTCAACCCTGCAGACAAGAATCTGCAGCCTGCGGATGGGTGTCATGGCCAAGTATGCTGACAAGCATTGTTGGTGTATGCTAATCCACCCCAAATCCAGTTTCAAATCAGACCAGCAAACCATTTCAACCATCAGCAACTGAACACTTGGCACGTCCTTCTAGTGCACTGCTGGTTATATGAAACATGATCTTACAATTACAATTGTTCTAGTTTTTACACTGATCAAAGAAATTCAACCTTGTTTTTAAGGAAAAAAACCAACAACTTTGAAGCTAATGTGGAGCGGGTGTAATCCATCAGTATAGTAGTGTGGTGTCATGGCTGCATGCTGATCAAATAACGCACTCCAAGAGCCCTGTCACAAGACCGAAGAGTAAATACATAATACAGTATCAACAGAGCATTACTCTACAGCATATAGGTTACAAGCAGCTGTTTCAGTAAGCCCAAGCGGCCAAAAGCGTAGTGTGTTAACACCATTACCCAACAAAGCCAGGAGATACATTTAAGAGGGAATGAAAAAAAAATCAAAAAGATTATTTGGTAAAACTTATTCTATTATATTTGCTGCATTATATAACAGGGTATTTTAAGAATACAACACCTCTGACAACATTTAAACTCATGAAAAAGAAAATAAAAAAGATTATTTGGAAATATTAATATGTTGAAATGTGTATTTCTGTAGTTATCCCCAACATGGGTGCACAATAGATCTGTTATTTGACAGCGTCACTCACTAGTGTAAGAGTTAATACAGACAGTAGACTAACCTAAATCAGATGCAGCACTAGAACAAATGGCTATTCGTCTCAGGTCTCCTAGATGAGGCTGATGAGTCTCCTGTATCAGCCTTGTCTTAGAGAGATGGTACTATCCAATGTGATAGTGATGCATGTTGTGTGCAGACTAGATTACCCATAATTACCATGCATCCCTTATCAGTTGTCAATCATTAGAGAGTGGTCTATTCCCATGCATATTCAGCATGTCCACAAGTTAATGTTGTTCCTGTGAATTGTAAGCTCAGTTTTCTGGGGGCGTATCACTACAGTGTACGTACTGTAAATAGGCTAGTAGTAGAATTTATTTTGTATGTGTGTAGGCCAGTGTCAACTAAAGGCTCATGTGACCGTCCTCAGTGGCACATAAGGTCAGCCTTCCTCCATTTAATCAGACATTTGGGATTCTTTGTGAAACTTCTTTGTAGGGAACAAAGAAAGCCACAAGAGTTGCAGCTTGTGCATGCATGCAAGCCTTCAGGGTAAAATCAGATTTGTGACTATATCAATTTGTGATGTTTCTGTGTTTTCCTACCTTGTCTTATGGAGACATATCGGCCATTGGCTGCCATCAGAACCACCTGTGGATGGCTCTCCTCCAGGTCAAACAGTTCATCTTTACCCGGTTTGGAACACCGTCCAGACCTGAGGGTGCCCGTAGGCCCCATGGGAGACAAATACTTCCCCTCGCAGTCTTTAAAGGCCAGTTTCCCACACTTCAGCTCCAGCGTGTATGCCGTGGCCCTCCCACTCTGTGTCAAGAGCTTTCCGTCATTGCTGAGGAAGCGGCTGTCGCAGGTCTTAAGGCAGTACTTCCCATCCAGGTAGACAAGGGTCAGGAGCGCTGCCACCCCCCAGGGAATGTTCACATCCACAGCGATTTCCCCATCCTCCATAGAGAGGTGGGCATAACGCTTGCGAGCCACAGACAGCAGGTTGGCCTGCGGATGTAGAGCCAGGTGCACTGCCCACAGCTCGGCATCTGTGATTACCTGGGCAAAGCAGGACAGGTAGTCCCGAGAGCCACCAAAGAAGCGGAGGTGCTGCTCAGACTGCAGGGCCCAGCGACCGTCTGATTGAGCAACGATGAGGAAGCGGCAGTCGGAATTGTGGCCATCGGCCTCACAGGTGACTTTGCCGTCCTTGTCAGATGCCAGGTAGCGTCCCAGGTGGCTGCGCAAGTAGACCACCTGCGTGTCCTGGGAGTCCTGCTCTAGAGTCCATATCTGCTTCTTCTTCAGGCTGGGTGCTGATGCATTCACCTGAGAGACGAGAAAATGTTCCAACAGAGAGCATGAAGGCTTTCATCTTATATGCTACAACAAACCTGGCAATCATTATCCCTGTAGCATCTGTCTGAAAGAGTAAAGCACTGTACAGCTCTTTTATATTGGATGGCATGTTTGTACCTTGAAGCCAAAGGACTCAGCAGTGAGATAGCGACCCTCATGGTTGATTAGACCAAACTGTAACTTCAAGGGACGGTTCCCATTAGCAGGCATCTTCACCTGTGGATTCAGGAATTCAAGAGACAGATGGAGAACAAGGGGTAAGACAAGTTAGGGATTGGGGGAAGAGTGGGAAAGTTAGGCTGGGCAAAGAGAGAGGGGTAAGACCTAACATGGGAGGCAGGAGTTAGGGAGAAATAAGGGTTTTTTAAAGAGGTGAGGAATAAGGAAGGAGATGAAGTCATGGAGAATGATGAAATGAGAAAGCCTTAAAGACAGGAAATCAATTCATTAAGGTACAGTATATAAAGCACTCCCAAGACCACAAATTCCTTCCCCCGCCCATGGCTTCATTATACATTTTTCCAGCTACAGCCTCCTAATTTACTTACTGTGGTTTTGTGGCTTCCCCTCTGCAGTTTCTGCGGCTCTAATTCCAGCTCCCAGATTTAAGAGGCTTCTTTCACCAAGCGTCCTCTTGTAATTCTTTCTCTCTCCTCTCCTTCTCCTGCTGGCTCTCACGTACTGTTGATCCGGTCTCCCGGCTCCCCTCCACCTCTACCTCTCCTCACCCTAATCAGGTTAGAGGCAGAAAGACTTGAGTCAACCTTGATCTCTCTTTAGACTGGCGTCCGGCGTCAACCTCTCTTTCTCTGTGGACTAATTTTGATCTCTACTGCTTATCTCCACTTCTGCAGTCGACCCTCTCCCTCCCTCTCTCTCTCGTTGAACAGTGTTCAGCCTCACTCCTCTTCTTGCTTGACTTGTTATTCACCCTGAAGGCTCAATCACCTGGCCCCCGCCCCCCACCCCCCACCCCCGACTAGCCCCCCCGGTCTTTTTGTTTTTGCCCCTCCTTTGGCTCCTTTGCTTATGTCGTTGGATCACATCCAATATTCTGACCCCTCTTCTTCACCTTCCTTGAAGACCAGGTTCTTCGTTTGTCAGACAAAAGTTTGATCAGTGAAGAAGAACATCCTCAGCGGTCCTGCAAATGTTATGGTAGCGCATTGAAGGACTCCTTCACTCTTTCCCTAAACATAAGCCGTCCATCACAACTGAACTCAGCAACAAAGGGTGCTCGCCTCTGTAATCTTAAGCCTCTCTCTGACGCTTTTTCCTCCCATCCTCTCGTTCTCTCTCTCTGCCTTTTTCTAACCTGCCATGTGTATAATCCTGCCTTTCTCTGCCTCTGCACTTTATTCTGAGCTCCTGCTCTTCGCCTCTTTCTGTGACACATAAAGACAGGTAAGTAGAAACAATGCACACACACACACACACACACACACACACACACACACACACACACACACACACACACACACACACACACAGTCGGGTAACCAGAGCACTCCCTGTGCCTTTGGGGTAGTTGCCTGAGTGCGGCTCCACTTACTTTCCTATGCTGGGGGTTTAGTTACACACCTTCTCTGATTGCAAGCTCTCTGGGTCACTTCTAATGGGCAATGTGTCCAACAGGCTGAGGGAGTCAGACTTTACATCTGAATTTGGAAGACAAGCAAACGGAAAGGAGATGTGTGTTGTAAAGGCAACAATAATAAGCTAATCAACAGATGGGGTTTTGAATGAATGTGTGTGTGCTGCAAGTGTGCCTGCATGTGTGTGTGTGAGTAATCAACCTTGCCAATCAGCCTATTATAAGTCTTCTTTGCAGAGTAAACAGACGTGTCTGTTCCTGAATCCATCTAATCCTCAACCCAATCATCCCAACCTGGCTAATCTATCGCCACTGCCCCTCCCTGCTCCCCTAACAAACACACGCTCCCCCTCCTGCTTGTCAGTGGCTATAAACATACACATAGACTCACTGACCCACAGCAACATACATGTCATCACCACACACACACACAAACACACACAAAGGTCAGAGGAGGGTCCCAGGGTTCATAGCAAACACCACCCACCTAAAGATTTACTCCTGCTGACCCAGACTTGAACTGCTGCACTTTACGCAAAATGTGATAAACAATGCATGTCACACACACACACACACACACACACACACACACACACACACACACACACACACACACACACACACACAAGCTCTCACACACAAACACAGATACTGAGGGCTGTAACTGAGTGTGTGAGCACTAAATAACCGGACATCCTGTGTTTCTGAGGTGCTGACTTGAGATCAGCTTCCCTTTTTCAAGTGTGAAACTTTGTTATTATAAGAATAAATTCAAGGACCTACAATCAGCATTTATACCGATTTTATTTATCCCCACATTATGTAACTACTATGAGCCAATAAGAAGACAGGAACAGACCACTGGTGCCATCCTTAATATGATCAAAGTTATCAATTATACTTGCATTATAAATACTTGAAAACATCCTAGAACCAACACTGGGATCATAAATCTGTGGCTGTTGTTATTTAATAATAATTCTAGTAATGCAATAACACAGACATTTAGTCTCTTTTTACTTATAACAATTTATAAATTACTTATAACAATTCATAAATTATGTTTTTGAATACAAAATGCTTTATTTTTTAGATAATTTCAATACCCAAGCTGATGCTGCGGTGTGTATGTGTCATATAGCTTTTAATAATTAAAATGATAATGAAATTTTAATTAAAATGTTGACTCTTCGCATCAGTGTTCGAGAAATGTATTAATTAATTATTATTTTTTATTATTTTATATTCAACTGTTAACATCTAAATGAAAATATTTAATCAATGACACTTTATACAAAATCTCCTGGTAAAAAGGATTTTGTAACTATTATATTACCAACTATCTATTACATAGCAACTAGTAAAAGTGCAATATTGACAAGTTGTAATAGTCACTATAATTATATTTATTGACTTTTACATGCCATTAATATTGACTGGTTTATTACCAAAATCTCTGTTGCTTGCCCTTCAGAGGGCCCAGCACAGCCCAGCGTGAACTATGAAAACACATCTTTTAAGAGTTTTAGGTTTTCTTTCAACATGTACAATTCAACTGACACATGCCATTCAAACTAAGACATTAAAGGTCCAGTGTGTAACATTTAGGAGGACCCATTGGTGGTAATTGAATATAATAGTCAGTGTTAATCGTGTTTTGTTACCTTAGAATGAATCATTTTTATCTACAGAGGGAGATGTCATGTTGAAGCGCCCTATTTCTACAGTAGCCCAGAACAGACAATTGCAACTTCAGCGTTAGATGCCACTGAATCCTACACACGAGTGAACTTTCAGCACATTACCAGTAAGGTTACAGTTTCATACCTAATTTTTGTCCATCAGCACAAAACCCTTTTAATAACCCTCCAGTCTTCCTGCCTGTTCATAAACACACGTAAGAGGAGCTTCACCGTGCAAGTGTGCATACTGTATGTGTGTATGTGTAACAAATCAGATCCTCACATTTGCATACCTCAAACCCTCATCAGAGAAAATCCTCTCTCTCTCTCTCGCTCTCTTTCTTATATGAAACCACATATATACACACACAAACATGCATGCATACGAACACACACACATAAACACACTGAGGAGTGGGAGAGAAGGGGGGGGGGCAGACACAGTGCTCACAAATCAAAAAAGTCATATACTGTTATTGTTATCAGTGCTATTATTTTCATTACTATCACTATTATCACTATTACTGTACTTCCTCCTCATATGTATCCTATCCCACGCATCATTAGCTTGCTCTCTGTGGCCCCCGGGGGCTGCGTCATCGTCTGCTGATGTGCCGACACTCCTGCTGCCGTTGGCACGGTGACGCCTGTCGATAGCCAACCAGATGTTTTTTTTTTTACCCCTTATTCTGGGACAGCGGCTGTGCCAGGTTCACCGTGGCAACCATGGGATGGTGCTTTAGAAGCCATTACAGCGTTCCTCTGATGACACTCAAATAGCTATCATTACACCTCCTCCAAGGAGACACAGAGGGGGGAGGAGGAGGAGGAGGAGGAGGAGGGGAGGGAGGTGAGATGGGAAGGGAGAGATGAGGCAGGGAAGGAAGGAGGCAAGGGTGAAGGAAAAGAGGTAGCTGGGGAACAGATGAAGAACAAGCAGAATGAGGTGAAAGCGAGGAAAAGAAGGGGAAACGTGAAAGGTGGGAGACGGGTTAAGGGTGTAGGGAGACGGAGGGAGAATCTGCAAATTACACAGGCAGACAGGAATGGGAAACCAAGTTAAAGATATAGAAGGTGCATGGAAGAAGGGATGAGAGAGAGAATGGGGAATTTGAAATGACCGTTTCTGAGTTAACAGCCTCCAGGCTTTTTCTACCCTATTAAGTTCTATTCTGCCATTACTTGGGACTGCGGGGTGCTGCCTCATACCCCACAGTGTCCCCCTACTCTTACAGACACCCCCTACTACACACAGATATACACAAATACACACACTCTCCCTTCCACATTCTTCCTCAATTTCCTCCTCCAGTCATCCTTTTTCCCCCTTTTTTCGCTTTAAGTCCCCCCTCCTTCTATCTCTCTCTCTCTCGACTTCAGTTCAATTCCAGAGGTTGTGAACTGAATGAAAGAGAGATCAGCTGGATCAATCTTTGAGTCCACTGGTTGTCCTTGTTGTTACTGTTGCAAAAGCATGCCAAAACAAGCTGTAAGAGGTTTTGCTGCTGTCTTGCTTTGTTCACTTCTTTGTCTGTATTCCTTCCTCACTTCCCTGACACAATATGAATTTGTTCCAGTGAAAATCAACTCGTGTCGGGACCCAAATTTGTACTTGGGACACTGGGAGTATTATATGGCAACCTGTTTAACCCAATTAAACATGACTCTCTATGCTAGAAAAGAAGTATGATGACCGTGTCAGAAATCAAAAGGGAAAACCAAGACTTTGTTTTGTATTCTCCATACTTTCAGACTGCTTTGTCATATCTGATGTGAATGTGTTTGCATATGACACTAATGGCTTTTAATTGTTTACACAGAATTCCCTTCACAATCTTATTTTTCCAACACTATCTGTAATAAGGATACACAACTTTTGGCAACTTTTGTGTGTTGAGAGGATCATCCTCTCTTAGCCCGTCTTTTCTTACAGGGTGGGAACAGATGAAAACAAGTCCAAGGATGCTGTCACCCTAAGAGCCTCAGGGACCCACTGTAAGGACGACATCTTTCAATGAACAAAACACACACTTTCTTTTTATAGGTGAAACCTTCCCTCCCTCTTTGCTTCACACTAAACTTTTCTAACTAATCTTTTCCAACATTTTCTCTTCTTTTCTCCACTTTTGTCCTTGTCCCCTCTCTTCTTTCTGCTTCTTTCCACTTCACACACTCTTTTGGGACGCTCAGGATAAACCAGAGCAGCTCAGGTCACTGCTGTCCACCCATCCACCCCTGTTGCTCTTAAATGCACACACACACACACACACACACACACACACACACACACACACACACACACACACACACACACACACACAAATAAAGCTATGGCATTGGAAGAAATCTCAGACCTCAAAGACAACAAAACAATTTTGCCAGGTGGCGTCAGAGTGTGAAAATCGAAATGCACTTTTATATTTTGTGCCACCACTGAAAGACCATTACATCAATAACTTTCATCGACGAACGTTTTAATAACTGTTTTCTACTTTTTATGCATGTTCAAACAGTTACATCCTCACCCACACCTGGCTGGCACACTCGCAAATTGTAATGCCCGAAGCCACCACTGAGAGGCGGTGTCAGCCTTCTACTTCGGCTCCTTTATGAGAACCTTGCCTATATATTTTTTGGAGGTTAAAAAAAAAGAGAAAGAAGATTGATGCTTGGTTTGTCAGTGTTGGTGCCTGTGTGACTGCATAGCGTAGGAGGGAAGGACTTTAGTGCTATTTAAAATGGCTGCTTTTAATGTCTTCTGCTTTTTGAGGGAACTGTAAGGCGTCAACAACACGTGAAGCGTTATCAACTGTAAAACATCAGTGCAATTAAAACGAGAGGGGTGGGAGGGGAGTGTTTCCCCCCGTTTCAATCATTGCCAGTCACTGTACCTGAGTCTGTTTCTCTGCCATGTAATGCAGGCTGTACATGGCATACCAGGAGCAGGTTTGACCCACAGTTTTAGAGCCTCAACGTGTGAATGTGGGTTATACCTCACTGCTAAGCATGCATTTCTCATGTGCTTTTAATCTCATTGGTTTTCGTGCATGCTGATTTGATTATGAGCAGGGCAACACGCGCGCTTAAAACGCTGCAGCGCTGCTCTGCTCGCCCCATGTGCTCCAGTATAGTACAGTGTATTACCCTCGCTTTTCTTTAAATGTGTCTGAAACGAGGCTTTGAAACAGTCCGGATTAACTGATGTATCGCGTTTCTAAAAACAAACCGCCTCTGAATCATTCATTAATTCACATTTGGCTATTACAGTGCGGGTTTGTGTTTTATGGGCAGAGCAGCTCCTTCCTGTGTGGTAAGAAAGAGTTAATAACAACAGGCTAAACGTGATGAGTGAGGGGACTCTGTGAAAAACAGCGAGCCAATCCGCGTCCAGATTAACACCTTGCGCGGCCGTGATTGGTCCAAAGCCCGACCGTTGTTGTTTGGAACTCAGAGCCCACGTGGGGGCACGGACCCAAACTCGAGCTCTCATTGGCTAAGACCCCACACTCAAGACCCGCCCGTGGCTGGGCTCGCTGTGTGATTGGCCAAGCTGCTGCAATGAACTCCTCCCCCACCCCTCACCCTCTCCCCCTCCGCCCTCCCCGCCTTGTTTTTCCGTCCGAGAGGAAAGGAAATATCCCTCTCGCGAGCTCCATGGGCCGCCGCCGTCGTCGCTTCATACGAGGCGCGCGAACTCAGGTCTGACATTTCGCACAGATCCGTCTAAATACGGAGAAACACGATTACTAGAGATGATATTTAACTCAGCATCATCTTCTTCCCGTTATTTCGTTTCATCGCCAATTTCCCGGAGACGTTTGCTCGCTCTGTCTCTGTTTCTTCATTTTCTCTTCATAAAGCAGCCAGCCGCTTCTCTCTCCTTCTACACTGGACACACACCTCAACACACACACACACACACACACACACACACACACACACACACACACACTTGTCCATGTTATATGTGCAGGTTTGCAGTGACAGGACCATTAACCTTTAATGAATTAATTATATTACTAAAGATTAACAGGCAAGGGAGCTTAATCAAATTTGGTGTGCAAGAGTATAGCCTCTAACCCCTATCTTCTATCTATCTATCTATCTATCTATCTATCTATTATATTTGTTAGGCTACAACTGATGGAAAAAGTTACAAGTAGTTAAGGTCTAACTTTATATTAGTCTGCACTCAAATGTAAAATTGTTTTATTAAAGTACTTATTGAAGTGGTTACTAAGAAACACTAAATATGCAGTGGCATTTAGAAAACAACGTGCAATTCATAGGCCTTATAGGCGATATTTTATGCAGCAGCGATGACCCGCTGTACAGTAACAAACAAGCTTGGTAAAAACAAATCTAAACCAGTCTCAGCGTATAAACTTAAAAGAAAAAAAGAAAAGATCTAACAACATGGAGCCACGTAGCCTACTGTAAAGGGATACTGCAGTTTAGTGGTCTTTTATGCGTTATCATAACACGTTACATTACCTTTTAGATCCTGTCAGTAGGCAATGCTTTCGTACAAGGCTTCATTTGTTTTTACTAGCAAAATAGGTTAATGGCTCCTCTGTCCTCTCATGAAGGAGCCGCAATTTAATGAAGGACAAAAGTCAGTAAGCAGGATTCACAGTAGATGCACATCAAAAGTTTAAAATGTTTAGTTGTTGGGCTGCAAAATTTTATTTTTAGCAAACAGATTTTGCCCATTACAGGTCTCTTACAATGTGTCTTTGTGGATAAATGTAGAAGCACAGCTGCTGTCAGTGATAGTATTTAATGGGGTTCACTAAGGAAACAGTGGCAATGCTCCCGTCCTGACTTTTCCCATTTTTATCATGATTTTATTCATTGGCAGAACTTGATAGATGATTGCTTGTTATTGTAAATTATTAACTTTTTTCCCCTCAACAGACCAAATAGACGAGACTGTCTGGAAGTTGAACATGTTCAATTAGGTGAAATCAGACCAGAATCAGCCACTTAAGAAGCACACAACTTGTTGAATTACAGATAAAGGGAAGTACAGTCAGTAAATAGACAGAATACTCTCCAGTATTCATAGTTTCAGTGTTTCCAGAAAGATCGTGGAAAACCTCCATGCTATGGACCGCAGTCTAGTGGAAATGAAGCCTGCCAACTACGGGGCAGGACTTTTACTCTATTTATGCTCATTTGTCTTCCATTCAGTGATCAAATGAAACCACAAACAAAGCTGCATCAATTGTTTTCCACTAGGGGGCAGAAAAAACAAAACAACCTGACAGACACATATGTTGCTATACAATCCTTCAATAATGTGCACACACTGACATCATTTTGAGATGAAGTTTCTGGCCACCTGGTCCAATATTCAGTCTGCTTTTTGCCATGGTCGCCGCAACTCGAAAAATATTTGTCTCTTTAGTTTGTCGAGTTTATCAGAGTTTTTTTTTTTTTGCTGAACAGTTTATGGAGGAAGATGAGGGCAGCTCAGACAGTGAAGATGTGGCAGCAACACAAAAATTAATGATAGCTCTAAGAGCTGCAGAGTTGGGATTATTACTTCTCCACGATTTTAGCATTATGAGCAACCCCATAACATTACAGAGTCACTTCAAGCAGCGTTAATGTAAAAAAAATATGAACTAATGCTGGTTTAATGATCAAGAAAAATTTGAGAGGCAGATAAACCAAATATCAGTGGCAACCATCAGGCTCATTTAAATCATTTTCTTCCTGCATCTTGAACCTGAGTTGTTCCGTATGAACAGGCATACCTGCTTTTTAACAATAAATGGCCACTATTCTCCTGACATTCTGTCTTCCAGTCAGGAAGCGATACTTCACGAGCCTCACAGACCTGCTCCGGTGACTCTTTTGGGGATTTCTACCTCCAGAACATCTCTTACCCTTCCTCCTCCTCTTGAATTGTTGAATAATGCTGCTAAACTCAGCTCAGATTGAATCTCCTGTCCATTCAGTTCACCTCAGAATCGAGATCAGTCAGCTTTTTCTCGCCTCATCCTATGCCGGAGCCATGCTGCGGATTTAGCTTGCTTCTGATCCAGCAGCAGCAGGCACGGCGGCCCTCGCTGTGCGGTGGCTGCAGGAGGGGAGCTGGGCCAGCGGGGAAGGGGGATACCCCCTGTGTGTGCTCGGCAATTGTTGTCGTGGCAATGGTGGCCGTAGTGGTGGTTGCCAGGGAGATGGGGGTTGCTTGTCTGACCCGTCCCCCTCGTGCTGTCACCGGCATTATTGATGCACGCCGCTGCTCGGCATTGTGGGAGTGCGGGAGGGAGGGCGGAGAGGACAACGGTTAATGAGTTCAGGAGGAACAGGGACTCTCCCTGCTCTCTCTCTCTCCTTTCTCTGTTACTCTCTCTCACTCTGTTTCCTCATCACCTCTCTCCCTCTCTGCTCCCTCCCTCCCCTTCATTTCTCATGGGTGTCTGTCTTGTGCGAGTGTGCATTAAGAATGCGGGTCTCTCATGATCCATCATGGCAAAATGCACTTTCCCTCTCCTTCACACACACACACACACACACACACACACACACACACACACACACACACACACACACACACACACACACACACACACACACACACACACTCTCACACACCTAAACGGGATACGGACGGTGCACTCACAAAAACATGTTCTCCCACACCTTTACTCGAACAGCGTAACTGAGTCATTCGCAACCACTCCTTCCTTTCTCTCTCTCTCTCTCTCCCTCTCTCTCTCACACACACACACACACACACACACACACACACACACACACACACACACAGATGCTGCCCTGCTGTTATGCCTGAAGCTAGGAGAGCTAGCAAGATTAATAATGACCCCTGACTCCCCACAGACAGACCCAAATATACACAGTTTGGAGAGAGAGAGAAAGAGCAAAGGTAAAGAGAATGAAGGGAAGAACAAGGTGAGGCCAAATGGTGACTAAAAATACACAGTTGAGTAACAAAGAAAGAGGGAAAATGTATACAGTTTATAAAGTGATTGAGATGAGAAATGGAAGAAGAAGTGGGAGGCCAAACATGCAAAATTAATTTTGCGAGATATCTAGTGGTGGGGGACAAAAAAGAGTATGTCAGCCCTTAGTATGCTGTATTCAATTTTTATCTATGCTGCCGTTATTGACGCCTGAAAACTGTTTGGGAAACAATCATGTGAGCCTGATTAGGGTTTGTGTGTCAGGGGTTATCCATTGAGTTCACATGCAAGAGACTGTATTGGCCAATTGCATAAATGTTGGATCCTACAATTCTCATAATGCAACTCGGTAAACCTAAATACTTGTAGTCTTCAAGCCAAAGTTAAGATCAGATTTTAGTAAGTTCTACAACTGTTTTTGCAGGCTGATAAATTAACTGCTGTGTATAATTGGTGCAGTAGACAGAGCCAGGCTCGCTGTTTACGCCTATATCCAGTCTTTGTGCTAAGCTAAGCTAACCGGCCGCATTGCCATATTGCCTTCTATTTAATGGTTGCATATGAGAGTGGTATCCATGTTCTCATCTAACTCTCTGCCAGAAAAGAGAATGAGTGTATTTCTCAAAACTTCAAACAATTATTTTAAGGTGTTACAAGTATAGTGATGAGTGTCCTGTCCCATGTGTGCATGTGTCTGTTCCAGGTACCACCCTCCCCTCTGTGCGGTACAACGACTGGTCGGGCACACCGGCGGTCAATTTGTCCATTAGACCAGCTGGCTTTATAAACCAGAGAGCAGACGGGTCCAGTGGGCCAGACTACAGCTTAGAGCTGTGTGTTGTGTTGTTCCTAACCTGGTGTTTTGCTGTTTTTAGGGAGGGTGACCACTGACATTTAATTTGGTTAATCAATAGCTTTGTGTTTATGGTTAGTTATTTTAAACATTGCTTTCTCCTTTTTAAGAAAGTCATTTTTAGTTGGGGCTTTTCATTTTTAAGTATTTTCATTTATATTGTTAATAAAAATCCCCTTTTGTTTGTACATATAGTTCTGTTTCCTGTGTTTCTTTTATCCTAGGTTTATTCTTCAATTGTTACTCTCCTCTCCCCTGGATTCAACATCTGAGGTTGTAACATAAAGTTAAGGAAAGATCATTGTTATATAACTGCTGGTGGGACTGCTGAATAAACCAACCTCCTGTTTAAAATGAGGTCCTTGTAAATGTACAGTCAACAACAGACAATCAATGCCTTAATCTTCCTTGTGACAATACAGGTGTTATCATTAATCTGTTTTATGCAGATTTTGTCAGACAACTTCATAATAATCAGAAAATATAATTGAAGTTTCTGCTAGCTGAAAACTTAACTGAGAGTGATAGCAAGAGTAACAGTGTGTTACCTCTCACTTTTTTACCACACACACATGCTTACGGTAACTTTTGGGGCCATTAGGTAGACCTACATTAATTTCCTAGAGACTAACCTTAACCAAGTACTCCTAACCAACCTTTACCCTAACCTAAACCACTGACCCAAAAATCAGCCTTTTACCAATTGGGTTACAGGGACATAGTTTTTGTCCCTAATTCGAAAAGCTGTCCCCATTAACTGGTCTTTAGTCTCAAAAGTGTCCCAAAACGTGCCCTAAGTCAGAAACACACACACACAGGCTTGTATGCATGAATGCATGAGTGTACAGACACACAAAATACTGATACAGAACACAGATACCAGCAGCAATATGCAGACAAATACACAAAACTGGGAATGCACGTTCTCAGAATTACACACAAACACACACACGCACAGAAGCACCGGCATGGATTAATGTGTTTGGCTCAACTATTTCATTTATTACTGTCGGAGGCCTTTTGTGATGAGGGCATTTTTCAGGTTGCTAACCATTATTCCCTCTAGGCCTCAGGCTCATCAAAGGACTGTGTGTGTGTGTGTGTGTGTGTGTGTGTACCCAGCCCTATGGTTATGGTTATGGTCTAACCAAGTAGTCAGATTTTTTCTTTCTATTCTTCAGGGGATTCACGTTGCCATTTCTGACTGTACTTAAGGCTCCCTCCCCATTTGTCAACACAAGCCTAAGCAGCTCGAAGCCTGTTTGTTTTGCCATGAAAGGTTTTTTTTGCAGCTCCATCATACCTTGAAATATTGCTGACTGTGCTGTATCCATCAACATACCAAAAGTATCTGAGAGAGAAGGAGGAAAGACACGGAGAGGAGAGGGAGAGAAGAAAGAAACAAGTGAATGTAACAAGTCAGTCGTCTCTGCCCTGATGCTCTTCTCTCTTTTTCCCCCCAGTGTATTAAAATGTGTTTACACTGTACTCGGATCAACTACAGCACAAATTACATGCACATAGAGATATAAACTCAAACCAGATGGCATTGCTTCTGCTCTGAATAATGGTTGGTGTTTGGTTCCGTTTTCACCGGCTTGACTCTGCCATCGCCTCAAGAATAAATTAATTAATTGGTTTATTCTTGGTTTTGATTGTTTGCAGAGGAACATTTGTTTTCTGGCCAGTGGGCTAATGTGCGACAGTAACACAATAATTAATTGAAATCAGTCTGGGAGTATGTTAAAGGCATGGAGTCATCATCATCAGTAGCCATCCCTCCACCTATACTGCATGTCATTCCACCATACAACACCACAACTAAGATGTGTGATTGCCATGGAACAATTTTGCAGCCTTACGATAAAAACACGTTTTCTAACTCAAAGTCCACTTGCTAGCTTTTTCTGGAGCTCTCATCATTAACAGTGGGGGTCAAACTCCTTAACCAGGAGTGCTCCAGAACCAGCCAGTAAGAGCCCTTTAGCACCTACCTGGCTTGGTCCGGACTTTTCAGTTTCTCTCCTGGCACCAAACAACCAAACTTTGGTCTGGATCAAAATAAACTATGGTTTGATTTGTGTGTGGTGTGAAAATATTTACAGTATTTGCAAAATCAAGAATAAACATTCACACTAAAATTTAGCGGGATTTTGTTCTTGGTAATAAACGTTTGTGGAAGAAAGAAATTTGGCAAATTTGGCACATAGTAGACTTAGGCCTTCCCTTTGCTGTCAAATGCCCGTTTAGATCTATTTTTTATTTTTTGATTCTGGATCTGAACAAGACATGTAAAAACATGGCAATCTTCACAACTGCTTTGTCTGAACTGAACTGGAGGGTGAGAATATACCTGTTCTTGAACACGATAACACTGAAAATCACAGCTGTTGTATTTCCGCTGTTCCATGATTCAATGGTTTTCATGTTTTTGGTTTCATTAAAGAACTGGGTGAAATTCTATGGGTTGAGAAAATAAGTCCGCAAATCTATTTATTAGTCTGAAGAATAAGTTGTCATAAACTTAGAAATAAAATAGTCCTTATAAGTATGTGGTTTTTATGAACAATTTGAGTCCAAACTACACTTGCAACACCCACAAAAGCTACAAAATCCTTTCATGCATTCATTTATGGAATGAAAGGGCCAAGAGTTAAAGTGGTTACAAGTCAAAGCTCAGCCATAGAGACAGACAAACATTTACTGTAACAGGAAAGCTGCTAGAAATTTGTCGAAATACAGTGTCAAAATTGACCACAGATTTTAATCAACCTCTCAACCCGTCTGTGTCACAGTGTCAACCAACACTGTACAGCAGGAGAGTTACAAAGCTGTTATTCAGGGCTTCAATTCACAAACTGCTGATTACCAAGGCCAACATACAAAGATGCAGTTGGTGAGAGGACCACAGAGCCCAGAGCAATAGACAGGAGTGAGATGATCTAATGAGCTGCCTTCATGCTTCTCTTAAAGGTGTCATAAGAGTCTACTGGGTCCAATGCTTCCTTTCTATGGCTTTATAACAGCAGAGGAATATGAGGCCATTTTAGTGCATCATTTCCCCATATTCCAAAATGATGATGTCTGCATGCACACTGCTAGAGAAACTGAAGAGTGGTTTCATGAGCTCCAGAATGAAGTCAAACACCTTCTATTAGTTTAACGCTTTCCTTTCAGTGCAGGAACCCATCTTTGTCCTCTCTCAAAGAACTGGAAGATTTATATCATGCATAAATGTCCAAAAATCAAAACACAGTGTTCAGGCTTTGTATAACTGCACTGGAAGCAGGATTAGAAGGAAAATTACACAAATTATATAGCCAGTAAAGAGCCAGTTTAGCTTCAGTTGTTTTCAGCTGCAGTCATGGAAATCCATGTACTTGGATATTGAATGAAAAGTATATCCGACAATTAAAAGTAAAGATTTCTTGTCTCCGATTGCATCTTTCAATCAAAAGAATTTCACTGTACTTTGGTGCTAAAAGTGTAATTAATTTTTCATTTATCTTATTATCTATCTAAATTGAGTTCCAAGTCCTCCCCTCAGTTTAACAGGCCTTAAAGTTTTTTTTATCATTACATTTTCCACATAACTTCTTACAAATTAAATCAAAATATATAAAAATAATGTCAAATTAGTTATTTTCAGTGTACAGTTTGTCCTTGGGTTAACACACTGCACTATCTGCTTGTTAAAAGACATTGAAGTGTATCCTGTGTGAGGTGCAAAGTACATATTTTATTAACATTTATATATATATATATATATATATATATATATATATATATACTTGTTCTGAGATTAACACAGGAAGTGTCAGGATGTTGGCACAACAGTTTGTGTGTTTTTGTTTGGTATGTCAACACCACAACAATTCAGCATGGATGTTGTCAAATATCTACTGTACGAGTATAATTATGGAGCAACCCACAAAAATATTCATAAGCAATACACATTGGTCAAACTCAACATAACCAAATTGGCATATTCATTCAAATATGTGACATATTGACACTGTTCATGGCTGTTTCAGCTCTTACTCACATCTCACTGGTCTGGCAGCAGCTAAGATATTCACGTTCTGGCTCGTGATAGAGCTTCTGCCTGGGCATGCAGGCAATGTGCAGTATGTTGTTGGTAAGGAGGCATCCTGAGAATATCAGCCACATGAGCCTTGACTAATTAAATATTTTTCACAGCTAAGTAAGTACAGTAGTTGAATTCAAGTGTTCAAATGATAACCACCAAATGGTTATACACAGCCATTTTTTTTTCAGTTTCATGAAAGCACAACCAGAGTTTTAATGTAACAACAGAATAGGCTCAGGTACGCTTAATGATTTTGCATCTATGTTCCACTAACGGGAATTGATTTTTTAGCCCGAATTGGCCAAAGTCTATTACCAAGAAATTGAGCCAAATCTGGCAGGCATATGAGCCATAACCCAGTCACATTCAGTCTCCCTGTGCCAGAAAACAGTCCAGTGCGCTGACACTCGCCTGAGCTATCCTGATAATCAGACTGACGTGCCATTTTTTTTTTCATTCTGGCCCACCAGTGTCTTTTTCAGTCACTCAACACAAAAGGAAAGTTGCAGTTGCTAGAGTTAGTTCTTTAAGTTGACAACTAGTGTAGCTGTGTCAACCGTATCTACTCTTGTTGCCATATTTCTGTTGCTATTTTCATGAATGTAATGTAAGCAATGTACTAGTAGTTTGAGAATGTTTTGTTCAAAAGAATTAATCTTTTGGGTAACTGTGCTAAATCACTTGCTGAAACGATCCATTTTCAGTCATTTCAGTTGAGCTCTCAGTCATCAGCGAGTGACCGTGCAAGGATACACTGACCCACTGAACACATAGTGAAGGTGTCCTGGGTCCTTAGTGATTCCCAGTTGCTCAAGCCCATCCTGCTCCTTCTCTTTTGTGTGTCGAAGTAGGAAATATGTAGTACCAAATATTTTATTTTACAATTAAGTATTGCCAAAATATAAATGCTGTATATAAGTGGCAACCTCTGTAGCTGGCAAATAAAGTCTGGCACAGAAGTAACAAAAACAGTTACAGCCACATGTTAAAATGCCCAACTTTACAGCAGAAATATACATGTTTATAGCCTGGTTCAAAAAACTGTGTTGGTCTTAGCTCATTTCCCAGTTCATGACAACTGTGGGGGGTTCAGTGAGTGGGACTACGCAGTTGGAGCGTCAATCAAGCACTGAACTGTTGGTGTGGACAAATCTTTTGAAATTTATTTAATGAATAATAAATAGTGATTCAGTGCACTGAAAACAACCTGCCCATCACTACATGGTAGCTAGCTATGTGGGAAAATAACGTCCCCGTTTTTAATATCGCCTGAGCTCTAATTAGTTAATTGTTTCTCTAACCAGCAGAAACATGGGCACACCACACCTTGTTCAGGGAACAAATCAGAGATGTGGATGGAGATTTGGAAACAGAACAAAAACAGAGGACCGTGAGACTGGCAGATCCTATGTCAGTGTTAAAGCTAGAGCTGGATCTTGTCTCTAATAACACAGCGTTGGTAAATGAGAAGCTGGTTGTTGGAGCTTTTCTTTATAACTCGCTGAGGTGGGCTGCACACTCCAAGCTAAGCTACTGATTTGCTGAGCCTGTAAACTTGTGTACCTAAGCTCATAACCCACTGGACTGACAGCTGTCTTGACTCATCAATGCATGTTAAACAGAAATTACTTAAAGGTTTCTGCTGCTGACGGCACTGAACACGTTTTCAAGTAGAGAGATGAGTGTGTATCTTAAAATGACTCAGTCATGTGTTCGGAGAGCAATGGCAATTTGTCCAAAATTATATTTCTATTATAACAGGGTTTGGTTTGCAGGAGGCAAGCTTTTCAAATGTTAAATATTGTCTGAGAACATGCACCCATACAAGAATGAATACATTGTAAAAATAAAAAAATAATTAAGATAAAATATTATTAAGAAGGGATAAGAGAAGACAGACACACTTTACTCAGCAAGTGCTAGGTAGATGTGCACTGATTCTGCATCGAGTCAAATTTGGGCATTTGTTTAGTTGAAAATCATTCTCATTTTAAATAATCCTGTGAGTAATGGTGATTGTGGTTGGGGGTGGGGAGTGTGAATGCGGGCTTTTCACATCTGCATCATCAGGTACTTATTTGAACCAATTCCAACAAAAAACCTACTCTGTTGTTTTTGTAATCACTGACCGGACTGCACGCCTCTCTAAGCTGTAAGTGAGATTGTTTATTTTATTTATTATTAGTTGTAGTGTTTATAACATTGTTTTTCTCATTTAAGACATAAATCTGATGAGGATTTTACTGTCCTGCTGGATCTGATTGATAAGTTTGGATTTAAATTGAAGCTTGTATTTTCTTTGTAGCTTATTAACTTAGAGAAAAACAATAAATGGTAACACTTTACAATACGGCACACATAATAATAATAATGTCTCACTTTACTTGAGGGGGCACAAAGACAGAAACTTGTGATTAAGTAAGTAATCGTTAATAGTTTTGTGTTCAGAGTTAGTCAGGAACAGCTCATGAAGAAAGTGGTCAGTATGTCGATTCACATATTTATGAGGAAATCATTATCGGATAATTCGGAGACAGGTTTTTCTCTCCTCGCTCATTTCTTAGTAACCAGACTTCTCACCATTGTGTGTACCGTATTGTAAAGTGTAAATGTATATACTGCAAATGGATGAAAGACTATATAGAAGAAAATTATAATTTACTGAACAATTTACAGACTAAAAGATACTATATTAATGAATCACTTTTTATTAAGCTCAGAAAATTACTTAAGCTTTAAACTATGTGACTTCACTAACTTACATACTAACATTTCTAATTTCTTGATGCCAGCTTTAACATCACTTGAATGAGATTTACCCCAAAACAAAAATATAAGCTGTTGTGAGTGTGTATCTTTCCCCTCAAGTCCCTTTTCTTTTCTTTTTTGGAAGGAAGCACCAATGGGGGCGGAGGAAGCAGGAAGAGTATTTTCGGCCCTCTTTCTGGTGCTGTTTCCGGCAGGTAAAGCTTACATCACATTATTGCTGTTAATGTTAGACAGCTTTGGGCAATCACCTTATGGCCTCAAGAGTGTTTCTCAATCAAAACAACATTTAATACCTGTACACTTTGTGTTTTATTTCAGTTCAGCTATCATCATCTGGATGTGTGACCTACAATTACAGCGAAACCTGTGGCTTTGTGGGCTCATCAGTAGAGTTTCCCTGCTCCTATCCCCAAAACGTTAAGGTCATGTCAATATCAGGATGGTCCAGACAATTGTATCCTCACAGGAAACTTACACCCTTGGAAAAGATACAAGCTTATTCGAACAGAATTAAGTACCTCAAACGTGGAAACAATGATTGCACCATGAAACTTACAGGCTTAAGAAAAAGTGACACATCCAATTACTACTTTATTTACAAGTCCATAAAAGTTACAGGTCATCCAATGACATGTAAAAGTGTCCCGGCAGTGAGACTCCACATTGTTGCCTCTCCTGTTAGCATCCTGGTGAAGAAGCTTGTTAATGGACAGGATGTGGCTGTTGCAGATTGCACAGTGATGGAGGGTCAGAGGATAATGCTGACTTGTGTCTCCACCTGCGCTGCAAATCTGAACTCCAACCCAGGCTACATCTGGTACAAGAACAATCTGCAATTAAGTGGGAGCAGAGCAAACTCACCTTTCTTGTCTTTGGAGAACATCAGTGTTGAGGATACAGGCAGTTATGTCTGCACCATGATTCTTTACAAAAACCTCCCCTCGTCTGTTGTCAACCTCAGAGTCCGGAGAAAACCCAGAAATACTGTGGTGTCAGGTGAAATCCCTGATGCTGGATCAGAAAAGGACAGTGTACCGACTCTGACACATGTTTGTGATGCACAGAACAACACAGACCAAATCTTCAACAACTGCCGGACACCGTTCACATTGTTCATAATGCTTTTAGCCAGTGTTAGTGTTGGATTAGTCATTACAATATTGGCTATACTCGTCATCAGAGCAAAGAAGAAAAAGGATAAGAAGATGAGATGTGCTGGTCCCAACCACAACCGTGGCTCCTACATGGTTCCAGATATCAACTCCATGTCAGCTGAATATAACACACTGGACCCAGCGAGACGCTACACGGCTACTCACACTGTTTATGAGAACCTACGCCAGCCTGGAAAGTGGGGATGAAAGACTGGTTTTAAAGCAGCCCACCACCAGTTTTGCATATTATAGCCCATGTATTAAGTGTCTAAGTTTCTTTTTATTTCCAGTTTCCCCTGTGTACCACAAGTTTTCATACTGATATCAATTTGTAGCTGGATTCAGCTCATTTACTACAATATGGAACTTGACTTGGATTTAAAGTCTAATTTTATCCTCCATAGTGATGCATTTATTTGTAAAACAAAAGCACTGAACATTAAGTGCATTTTTCCACTTTTAAACAACCTTAAACGAGTGTAAAAACGCTTTTGTTAAATTTTACTTTCTTCAAATGTTGCTGTTTCCATCAAACTAATGCAATACTTTAAATCGTACATAAAAATACATTGACAGAAACACAGCTATTGCCACCCTCCGGTAGTGTGGTTAAAAATGACCAAAGTTTTGCTTACAAAGTGGTTTAACTGTATATTTTAGCCAAGTTTTAATGTAACAAATATAATAACATATTCCATTTGGATTTTGTATTGGAAGTTTTGTAAAACTGCATTACAGAACAAAATGCACAAACCTAAATGTGTCAGATTTTCTTTTTTGGGTTGTTTTATGAGGGTTGTTCATTAGGTATGGACAACACACACACACACACACACACACACACACACACACACACACACACACACACAGACTTACTTTTATTTCCTAGAGACTATAACCACTACTTGTCTAACCCATAACCTTAACCACTGACCCCAAAAGTTTGCTTTTGTCCCCAGTTAACAAGTCTTTAGTCTGGAATCTGTCCCCGAAGGTAACTTTAGTTAGACCACACACACACACACACACAGACACACGCAAACCTTTGAACATGATTAGGATCTGCCAACATGTAAAGGGTATCTAACTGCTAAAACACATACTTTTGTTTTACCAACATGTCATCACCCTCTTTCACTCTCAGTTTCTGTGTGTGTGTCTGTACCTGCATGTGCTATCATCCGATGTGTGTGTGTGTGCGTACTCAGTAGCTACAGCTAATGACATAAGTAAGTAGACATGTTCAACAACGTATTGGTGCATGTAAACATTGTACGCTGCAGCAGCCACCCCCCTCCCTCCTTCTGTTCCTCCATGCTTTTATCTCTCCTCTTATCTCCTGCCCTTTAAATCTGCTCATCCATCGCTCCCTGCCTCTTCTGTCTCTACTCGCCTCTATCTGTTTATCTGTCTCTCTTCCCCGGGCATTCAAATCCTGCCCTGCTGCGCTTTTCTTTCCTTTCCCCCTTCTCTCTCTTTATTGTAATTTCCCTTATTTTTTCATTCTCCTCTTCTCAAACACCTCCACTGGCATTATTTATTTCTCCCTGCAACTCCATCTGTCTGACGGTCTGCCTGCCTTTTCAGCCATTCATCCACCATCACTCTGTTGCTGATGTGGTGTGATGGAGGAAGTAAATAAACAGAGCCAAAGCCAGGAATCCTAAAAGATCTTGTCTTTGCATGAATGACGGCAATTCATCACCACCTTGTCTCTCCCTCCCTGTTTCTTCTTGCATAGGAGAAGATTGATCTCTAATTGTAATAGTGAGTCAGGTGATGGGGGGGGGGGGGGGGGGGGGGTTAGCGGAAGAGAGGGAATTATTAAATGTCAGCAGTATAGTTTGCCACCACCTGGGGCCGAGATGCCATCTTTGTTTTGGGCCTATTGTTTGCTGCTGGTCAGATGGATGGGTTTGGTTCATTGGCAGGTATTCTCATTTTGACTTTTACTGCCTTCCATCCGAACAGAAGTAAGAAGAGATGTATTGTGCACTGTGAGAAAGGACTTGTCCGGTTTTTAGGTGTAAGTGGGAGAGATAGATCTGATGAATAACTGCAAACAATAGGTGGTGAAAAATAGAGGAAATATTCTCATTGTAGAAATCCCCTAACAAAACCCTGGCTTCCTCCTGCTCCCTTTACCCAGCCCTCCCCCCTCCACCTCCACCTCTGTTTCTCCCCCTTTTTCCTCCCCCCCCCCCATTACCAATTAGCTCTGAGGCCATAATGGATGTTGTTTGCCGTGTTTCCCTGTCAGCGGATTGAATTAGCGCCTCTGCATGTGCAAACGTGTGTGTATGTGTGCGTGAGTGATCATCTTATCGGCTCTTAGTACAGTAATGAAACACAGTTATAAATGGCTGCAATCCTGTTAACAAAACAGCACCTGAGTGTAGCCCGCTAGATAAATCAGAACTGGGCCGTCGCCACACCGACCCGGCGGCTGTTGCTAAGGCGTGGAATCACCAGGAGACAATTGAATCATTTGCTCACTGTCTGATAAAGCGTCTGTCTTTAACAACCGGATCACTGCTATAAAAAATAACACTATTTGTTATCACTGTGTTTTCCCCCTCACAGGGTTCAGGAGGCGTCTGGTAGAATTTCTGGTTTTGTAATCAAACTGATATTACAGTAGCAGCGTTTTTCTTTGTTTTGCAACATTTGGTGCTTTAAACACAGCCACTGCTTTGCTTCCGGTCTTTCTTCATCGCACCATGGTGATACGGGTTGTCATGCATGCACTCTCTTCCTCACACACACACACATACGCACATACACACACTCATTCCTCTGTCTTTGTGCTGGGGGACTATTAAGACAGTGTCTAATGCTGCGACATACTCCAGTGCTCACACACTTAATTGTCTTAATGTTTGAGTTCACATAATCTTTCAGGGCTGTCATTCTCTCAGATTATTCATCCCTGTTTTCAATTACTGAACGCCTTGGCACTGTAGGCCCAGAATGCATGATATACCTGTCCCTGTGTGCGTGTGTGTGTGTGTGTGTGTGTTTTTACACCACTGTTTGCGTGTGTGAACAAAACCAGAAAAAGAAAGATTGAGGATGAAGTAGCATGAATTATTTTTTTATGCTGCCTCTTTATCAGTTACTTAATTTGCTACAAGGCTGCAAGTGTGTAAGTGTGTGTTTGCGGATCTGTATATTTGAGCCTTCACATACATGTGAGTGAGTCTGTTTGTATTTGTGTATTTATACAAGCAGCTCAGGCTTTCAACGGCCAGTCAGTTGAAAAATTGAACAGCTCCTCCTCCATCTCATTTTGAAACCTGCCTGCAATAGTTTTGGCTTCAGTCACCGATCACACCACATCATCAGTTATTGTGAATTTGAGAAGAGTGAACTCTGTTAGTGTTTCGACACACACACACACACCCACACACACTAGGCAGCGGAGCATGAGTCAACTGTATGGGAGTAAGAAAAATAAAAACCACATAGCACAGTCATTACGTGCTGAACAGAGCCCACTCAACCAGATCAGAGGTGTGTGTCTAAGAGATAGAGAGAATATGTGCAAATTGTGTTTTTATGTGTGTGTGTGTGTGTTTGTGTGTACTCGCGTCAATCATCCTTCTGTCTCGTTGCTGCTGGTCCAATGCAGGAAATTCCTCACCATACTTTACTCACTGTCATACAAAGTTGCGTGTGTACAGTGAGGATTATAGCTGGATATTCAAGGTTAATTCCTGTGAAGTCCTGTGAAAGCCGTATATATCCTTGGACATGAATATGATGTGAGCAGGAGAAAGCAACACATTCTTGTGTACTGGGTTTTATGAATGGCTTAATGGTGTGTTAGAAAAAAAGTAAAGATAACATAGCAGTGATAAAGTAGGCAAGTTGTTGTGGTGTTTCATGTCTGCATATAATAGACGACTGGCAATAATGCACCAGGTTAATAGTAAATATATTCGTATTACATGCACTTCTCTGTCAGTACAGTATGTGTGTAGATGGTGGTAACCTGTGATGAACAGCAGGCAGCCATCAGGAACTAACAAAGCTTATATTATTAACTCCCTGCAGTGGAATTTTCATTATGTTTCAAATTTGCGTGTGTGTGTGTGTGTTTTGCCTGTATTTCTTATCATTGGTTTGAACAGGGACTCAACTGGAAAAAGGTAATGTCACTTAGTTGCAACAATGAGGATTTAACAACATTTTAATCTGTAGATAGCTGTTGGATTGTTTGCTGACAGAGAGTGGCACCGGTATTATGACAGAACCGGGTAAAATAAGAATCGTTGTGTTTTTCTACAGCAGCCCATAAACCAAACACAGGTTCCAGCTTTTTTCACGAGTTTCATGGCCACAGTTCTCCTACATGCTTGGAAGGCTAAGCTGTATTCAAATGGCTGCAACTGAAGCTTTACTGCTAGATACCACTAAATCCTGCACACTGTTCCTTCAACTTGTTGCCAATTTAGTCATGAATACCTTTTTAATAAATATGTAACATTTAAAACCAGTTTCTCCAGGGGCTTTAAGCCATGACAAACTGTACAGGTCTCTCTAAATATGAAAAGGTTTTAAAATTACTGACCAAAAGAGACTACCATCATGAAGAATGGTGGTCTCATTTAGAGGAGTGTGATTAACTAATATAAATTTATCTACAGATGACCTGCTGCTGGAGAGGAGGAGGATTTCACAAGTGATGGGTTGGGTGGTTAAAAGTCAAAAGGTATGAGGAGACATACCTTTAATCATGCAAAAAATTCTTCCTTTAACAAACACTGTTATCAGACAAACTGTTATCTGTAAAGCAAATGTCAGTTGTCCAATGAACCTGTTCTGTCTGTTTTGCATATTAGATTAGCGTAGATTAGATGATTTATAACCTATTTTACTATCTGCATAACTGACGAGGAACTCCTCTTTCCTGTGTATGGGTGTGTTTATGTTTCTAGGATCATCGTGGAAGGAAAGAAAAGAGGTAATTGCACTGCTCTGACAGATATATGATGTTCTTTCTTTGTAGTTGCGACAACTTCCCTGAAAGCTTTTGCAGCCCTTTATGAGGTGGGTATTTTATTAACACTTATATCACAGCTTAAAGGTATGGCTCTGTTAAACAGTGTAGTTAGGGTTAACTAAAATTCCATCACTTCATCATCCCCTTCCTAGAGCAAAGGAGAAACTAAGGTGGCCACAAAATGTGCAAAAAACACGAATGCCCCTATCTAGAGCCAGTGTTTGGTTTGTCCCTTCTGAGCTACTGTACATACAAGATAACAATTCATATATTCATTATATCTAATTTCTGCCAATAGTGGCTCAATAATGTTTCATACTGGACCTTTAAAGAGGAATTTCAGATAAAAAATACACTCATCCTATTTACCCAAAATACATTTAGCTATCTGTGGTGACTGATTTGTGATAAAAAAAAAAAAAATGTATTCCTGTTCATCATGAGTAAGCGTATGTCTTAATTATTTTTACCATTTGTCAGCTCAGTTCTCCTTCCACAGAGATGGAAATTCCTGACAAAATTTGAATTGCTATAAATATACATATCACCAAAGCTCGCTGCTGCAGACAGGTTGAGAAGCGAGAGTGAAGATAAATCTGATTTTTAATCCCAAAAGTAAGCTCTGACCTCTCCTC